CGAATCGTGGAGCGGCGTCTCATTCAACACAACCTCCGGAACAATGCAAAAGATTTTGAATCTCGAACAATTCTTCATAATTTCCCAACATTGGTGACTTTGGAAACTTTTTTTGCCTTGTCCCGTGGCACCGAACCACATTTGTGCTTGTATGATCTATTTTTCTCCCAATAGGTCTTGGCGCATGTGGGAGTGGTGAGTCTTGATCCATTGGGGAGTCCAATGGCGAATCGGTTGTCGACGAATCGTGGAGCGGCGTCTCATTCAACACAACCTCCGGAACAGTGCAAATGATTTTGAATCTCGAACAATTCTTCACAATTTCCCAACATTGGTGACTTTGGAAACTTTTTTTGCCTCGTCCCGTGGCACCGAACCACATTTGTGCTTGTATGATCTATTCAAAATAAATAATTGGAAATGCAACCAAAAAATGAATATGCAACAAAATATAAACAATTTAGAAATGCAAGAACTAAAATGATTATACAACAAAAAAATAAATATGTAAGACAATCTAAACAATTTACAAATGCATGCAAAAAAATTATTATGCAACAAAATATAAATAAATTAGAAATGCAAGAAAATATAAATTTAATATGCAAGAAAAAAAGTTATGTTCAATTGAATAAAACGAGAATTATAAATATTTTATCTCATCGGTAAGATTTTGACCGCTTCTCATGTTGTCCCTCGCTTTTGTCATAACTCTTTATTCAAAATTTTCCACCTGGATTGCAAGGCTATTTCCGTCCGAGTCAAACCGGATCTAGCTGCAAATTCTTCATGAATTTTCTCCACATATGAGAAAACTTCATCTCATTGCCTGTTATAGGACAATGACTAACTTTCACCCAAGACTCACACAACACAATATCTTCCACAGTAGTCCAAGAGCCTCCGGCTTCGACAGAAGAGGCCATTTGTTTTTTGATACAAATGGAAACTAGTAGAAAAATGTGAGTGAAATGTAAAAAATATTTGAAGGAGAAGAGTGTGTATGAATATTTGGTGTGGAAAGTGAGTAAAATTGATAGGTATTTATAGGGAAAAAATACAGTATTTTTGGGTATTTTTTATAAAAAATTTAGACTTTTTTTGGAATTTTTTTGTCCAAAAAAAAGAGGGCCGTCAGATTTCTGTGAAAAAAGCCATCGCAGCGCCCAGGAAGCGCCACGTGGCATTTTTCCGTTGGGCCCTATCAGGTGCTGACGTCAGCGAACGAAAGTCAAATTTTTTTACCATTGGCGCGTGAAATTCATGCGCCAACGGTGAAAAAATTTGAACTTACCGCTCGCTGACGTCATGCCTGACGTCAGCGCCTTTGGGCTGCTGCCCAGGCAAGATCTGCCCGTGGGCTTGCCCAATTTGATGGGACCCATCATTTGCCCGGGCCATTTTTCTTCCGCTGGAGCATCTTTGGGCTGCCTTGGGGGGCCTTTTGCCCAGTCTTGTGCCAAGGCTGGAGATGCTCTTAAGTGTGGGCAGTTGCCCATAGTAGGCATGTATTGGGTCCACCACTGCATGATGAGGACTGTGAATACTAGAGTCGTTCTATGGTGAGAGTCATATATGCATCATAGATATGAACCTTCATATTAGCCACAAGATTCATCTGAATAATAATTGCACTTAAGTTTAATGAAATGATCTTGTGGCTAATATGGAGGTCCACATGAGGAGTCCATATATGGCACCCTCACTATAGAATTTCGAGTGAATACCATTATTTGCCTAAAATAGGTGGGCTTAACCAATGTTGGGCCAAGCTGATATAGCTAGATCAGGCCCCAGACCGTAAAAGGAGCCGCAGCCTCATCGCCCCACCTTCCGATACAGAAGGTCAGAGAAATGGGCCTTGTCCCATTTTGAAAAAGGATTGATTTGGGTGTTTTTGTCGCAGGATTGATTTGGGTTTTTTTCGGTCGCAGGATTGATTTGGTAGCCATGGCCATTGCCGCAGCAGCAACAGCGACAGTGACAATGGCGCTGGCGAGGCCAACGTCGAATGTCTTGCTGACAAGTCACAGGGCTAGGTGGGTCTTCACTCCATTTGCTGTTTCTTCTTCCTTTACTTCGTCTTCTTCTTCTTCAAAGCCTTCAAGAGCCCTCATTCTCTACTCCAAGCCCGGGTGCTGTTTGTGCGATGGCCTCAAAGAAAAACTTCAGGCTGCCTTCTTACTCGCTGGCCCTGATTCTCTTCACGACGTTGATTTACAGGTAACCCAATGAATATTTATTTAGTTTTGAACTTTTAACATTTGTATTTCAAGCTTTTCCTCTGTTTTCAATAAAGTTTGTTGTATTGGGTTTAATTCAGATAAGGGATATTACGAGTAATCCAGAGTGGGAAAGAGCTTACCAGTATGAGATACCAGTGTTGGCAAGAGTGCTTTCTGATGGCACTGAGGTTAGTCCCTTCAATTTGGTTTTCTTGGGTCGGCTTTAATTTCAACTTTAATTCCTGTAATGTGCTGTTTTTTCATCCTGAAAGCTTCCAATTTCCGTAATTTATTGCTGTACCAAGCGACTTGGGAGCTTTTTCTGTATTATTATCCTTTAAATAGAATACCGCTAATTTCACATGTTGAGGGAATGACACTCAAATGACACTCAACTTAAGCATAAACATATTCTAAGCTTTATCATTGTACTTCTGAACTTGACCCTGTGTTGGAGCAACCCCATTTTATGTTAAGCATCAACCCCATTTTAAGAGTAGCAATAACTTTTAGAATAATCGGAACAATGAAATGATCACACAAGCACTTTAACATATTTTGACAAAGAATTATATAGAAAATGTCCAGTGGCCAACTTAGCAACGTGTTGCCTCATCCGAGATCACTAGGGATGAACTTGTGCAAACTATCCTGGCCAACCCAAAATCTAGACTGGACTATAGAAGACTTTGATTTGGAATTGGATAAATCTGTGGCTGCTTTGGTTTGAACAATCCCAGCCAGAATTTAGTTTGGGCTGATAAGGGTTGAGGTACCTGCAGCCTAAGCCTGATAGGCTGATCCATAGCACAACATGAGGCCTAGTTCCAAAGTATACTACTTCCCTTCTGTAATAAATTGAGTAAGGATTGTATGGATTTTCTTATTAGTTGAATTGTTGGGGTTTGATATCATTGTATTTTGTTCTATCCTATTTAGTAATACAATGAAAAGCTTCCCATCCACAAAAATCTTTTGATGATGCTACCTTGTATTGGATTATTGTACCCTCTATATTAAACTTCGCTTTGATAGTAGTTTTCCAGTAACCATGCGCAATTAGGCGCAAGTTCTAATGAGTTTGATGGCCATCATGACACCAGAGACAGATTTAACATTCTTTTATTGGCAATGATTGATTGAGTCAATTCTTTGAAGATGAAACTATTTTATTGGATTGGCTGTATAATGCAGTCAATTGAGAAACAATAAAGAAGGCATTAAGATAAGATTATAATGCCTGGATTTTGGCTTTGGGTGTATGTGATTTGATGATTCTTATTAAACTGTCTTATGTATCCTAGGATTAGAAATTGTAGGAATCATGTTGCTCTAAAGACTGGACATCCCATCAAATTGTACTGTAAAGTTATCAAGTGAACCATGTCTCATGGGAGTCAATTGTGTCATGGCTTGTGGGCTAGCCCTTATAATTGAGGCAAAGGCTCCATTGAGTTTGGTTGGGTTAATGCTATGCTGAGTGATGGGTGATTGTAAATGGTACCTATGATTCATTCTTTTTGTTGTGGAACTTAAATCTAATTAACTTTTCTGTGTAAACATTGCATTCAATACCAGCTGATTAAACCAAGTTCATTTTTTAACATTGGAAAAGGCTTCGTATGCACATGCCAAAATCATATAATGTGTTCCATTATCCTTTGATATTTGTCTTTTGAATCAATGTGGACATGCCTTTATGTTTCCCATGTTGTTTGTAGTTGTCCTTCACTACATATTACCTTTTCTAATAAATTCTAATGGGATGATTTTCAATTTTCATGCTTTATTTTTGCTTTCTTGCTTTTCTCCTGCACTTGTGAACTGTCTTGTCGCACATACAATTCTGACTCTAAATGCTTGCTGACAGATGCAGATCCTTTTTACATCTCTAGTGGCGCAGATTTTTTGTTTTCGTAATAGCCACGAACAAATTTTGCCAGTCATAAATGTCTGATTATAGTTTGCTTTTTTCCTTGTGCATCATTGCGAGGATATGGTTTCAGTCGTTAATCTCTTTTAAAAATATATTTTTTTGGTGCTTTGCCATGTTTCAAGCAATTACTTTGCTTTAGATGGTGGATTGACAATCAAATAAACAGCCAACGCAATTATTGATGGGATTGTCTCTATGAGGTGGCCTATCATGCTTGAAGCATCTCAAGTTTTCTTACCCTTACTGTTTCCTTTTAGCAATGCTGAGAATTTGTGTATATGGTACAATACTTCAACTGCATTTCCTCAGTCTGAAACTTCAAAGAATTCAAGTTAGATCTTTTTTGTTTTGTTTCGATGAATCACATTTGTGGTTTCATCTGACGAAAATATCGAATTATTTTCCAGGAAACTCTACCTAGATTATCTCCTCGTCTCGGAGTGGAACTGGTTCAGAAGAAAATAGCTGCTGCCTTAAAACATTAGTGGGTTTTGGACCCGGTGTAGAAGTGAAGTTTTGTCATTGGCTATTTGGCATATATCTTGAATTATAAAGGAATTTGTAGTTCACATCAACTTTGTAGCCAACTTATAGTGAATGGCCAGACAAATTTTCTTTTGACCCTTCTTTCTTGATCCCTTTTTGTTCTTCTGCCTTTATTTCCGTTACAGTTGACTGTGTTTTCTATCAAAGAAAAATGTAGATGAAACTACATATGCAAGATGGACACTTAACCCCTTCCTTTCTCATCCTTTCTCAATAATTGGTCTCTGGGGGGGTCTGTGGAAGGAGACATTAGACTAACCCACAATATAAAGCAATTTTATATTTCTCGAAAAATAAATAAATAAATAAAAAGTTTAAAATGTATCATTGAGAAGGTGGTCCATTATCTATAAAAAGAAAAAGAAAACGTTTTGAAAGTTGCAAGATTTGTTTGAAATCACAACCCTTAAACAAGTTCCACAATTAATTCACTCACTTTTGTTGACGTAGACGGCTCTGTAGTTTGTTCTCATGCTCATACTGACATGATGATAATGAATCCGGATCCTCTATTCTGATTTTCTCTGTCATGATCTGCCTGACTTTCGTTTTCGCCTCATTGAAATTTAATATAAGGAATTTAAACTGGACACATCATCCTTGAAATAAAAAACTAAATTTACTCCTAATTAAAAATGAAAAAAAAAAAAAACCCCCCATTTTGCATTGGAATTAAAGAAAGCAAATTCTTTGATCTTCAAGCATTATTGCAATTCATGGAAAAGTTTTCTTGTCCGCTTTAATCTCTCCTCTTGCTTTCTTGTAAGAAGACAGATTTCCATCACTTTATTTTCCTATCACTCTCTTTTTCGAAATCTTTATTTTCTACAACATTACAAGGATCAAATCGTCACCCTTTTGAATGAAAATGAGTTATCCATTTTAAATCATTCTTTTTTCAGTGGATATTAAAGATAGGATGCAGTATATGTCACTCCAATATTTTGACATAAAAAACTTATAAATAAATATTCATAATTAAGACATTATATTGAGAAAAATGCCCTATTAAAATGAGAAAGAAAAAAAAAAGATTTTTGCTTGTCAAGTCGCTACTATTTTTTTTTAAAAAGGAAACATGACAATGATACTTACACAATTAATTAATTATGCAAATATAAATATTATTATTATTATTATTATTATTCAAAGGGAAAAAAACTAAAGGAAACGCAATCATTGATTATTGCTTATCGGAAGTTGATGAACTCAACTTTGCCATTAGCACTTAAAAAGATGAGGTAAAAGGGGATTACACGCAAAGGTCCTTTCATCTCATACATTACGCAGAAGAGCAGGAAAGTTGATTAAATTTTAAATCACACCACAATCAAAAGTATACCAAAAGTAATAGATATGCTTATATTTCTTTGACCAAACTTCTCTTCACTAAAACTGATGCATCCGCTGCCTTCTTTCTTTGTCACTCACTTTTTCTTAAAGTGATGAGGAGTTAAATAGTGGTTGTTCCAAACACTTCACAACTTGATTAGCTAGCTAGAGGCATCTCTGTCTAGCATGTTAAGATCATTTTAAAGCTTCTTTATATTGCTGTTAATTTCCCTTCTCATTAAAAATGATGAGTCAATTCTCCCTCTCCTTTAAACCGCCCCACATTATTCGGCCATGAATCGCCAAATGTTCACATATATATAGAGTCATCTCTATTGATGGATATGTTTAGTTAAGAAATTTCTTACGGAATTTCATCGATCCAAACATTCTATTTTTCAAGTCTTTATAGATCATCCTTATAATAAATAAAAAGTTAACAAATTTGGAAGCAGTTAAGATACCTAATTGTGACTCATAAAAATAGACAAATACGGTGTTTTAAGAAAACACTAAAATGAAGACCATTTAATTAAGTGGTTAAATGAATTCAAATTCAAGTGATTTTTCTGTGATAATTTTTTAGAGTGTACCTAAAAAATAAACAATTTAAATTAATGAAATATAAGGTAGAGTGAGCCATATAAACATATCCGTAACATAAGACACCCCGACAAGCATGCAAAACATTTCAAACATAATGCTCTTTTTTCTACACAAGGCTTTGACATGTTTCTAGCTTGAAAACGATAAGATTGAAAAGAGAGAGAAAAAAAACACTTATCACATTGATCAAAATTCAGAAGCGGCGCATGGATTAGCATAATCTTATTTGTTTTTTGATTCACGCATCTTCATGGTGTCACGATCTTCCTGATATTATTCAAGATATCTTGATTGAAAATCTGCTGTAATTTTTTTCAATGAATACATTACTTTTCTCAATCAAAAACAAAAATATCAGAAGGTTTCTTTGACCCAAGTCATATAGTACATGTCCCATGTATGCACGAGTTGCAAAGGGATGTGTATTTCCCATTTAGGTAACCAAAGGGTCCCTGCAACAACAAGAAAAATTAAATGGTAGGGCATAGTCTGATTGGTAATTCTGATCTCCTACAAAGAATTAAAAAGGCTCCAAGTTTGTGGCACAGATCTTTTTTGATTGATTAACAAATGTTTTAAAAAATTATACATATATAAATACTTAGTCAAGTTGATTAGAGCGGATGTGCTTCCCACTATGCACCGAGTTCGAATATCCCTTATGGTAATTTAGATTATATTAAAGTAAAATATCGATTGCATAAAAAATAAAAATAAAAGATATATAAATCTCAATAATGGTACAGTTAAAAGCTCAATTACTTAATGGATTACGGAGCATGACCTGTCCTCATCATGCATGCTAAATGGGAAGCAACTATTGGTGTGTTTACTTGCTAATTAGAAAACTTATAAAATTTAGATGTAGACATCAGCTTTTTGCTAATTTTATCCAAAACAAAATTTTGACCCCTACCTTCCTCTATCTTGCTTAACCAAAAATTACACTGATACATATTTAGCAAAACCAGTAGATATAATAGTTGGTGTTTACTGTAAATTGGTTTAAGAACTTTTGTGATTACAAAAAAAAGTTGGTGATGGATTGTTTGCCTAATTTTTTCAAGAAATATCCAGAAGTTCTTTAAGATGAGATCGACCCCTCCTGAAAAGAGACAAACAAGATATTAAAGCTACCTCTATATTCATTGTAAAATGAAACTCCCATACACAACCAACCAGCACAATTGAAGCACAAAGACACAGAAAAGCACAATTGCACATTCGTTTATCAGTAATGACCGAAGCAAGCATACTTTCAAAGACAGGGCCATGCATATCCACAAGGATTGCAAAATAAAACCCTTTTTCTTGAAGTGGGTGTTGGTATAAGTGGCTCTATACAAGCGATAATGCATACGTCTCATATAAAGAATCCAACAATAATATAAATACAGTATAGGTGGACATAATAGGACCAGTGACACAATAAAGGGTTTATTATCCTATCATAATTAATCTTTTTTTTCTCTATAAGAAGGCCATTGCATGCACCTTTTAATTTCATCCCCAGTCAACCAGTTCCACTTCTCACCAGGAAGAAATTAAGTTAAATCAAGAGAGAGAGAGATGGCATATGGGCAGTTTGGTGTTATGTTGAATAAGCTGAAACCTTACTTGCTTGTTGTGAGCTTGCAATTTGGGTCTGCAGGGCTGTACATAATCAGCATGGTTACTCTCAACCATGGCATGAACCGATTTGTTCTCATCGTCTATCGCAATGCTGCTGCAGCCCTCTTCCTTGCTCCTTTCGCCTTGGTTCTTGAAAGGTTTCTATCTCTTATTAGTCACATTTAAGTAAAAATAATCTGAAATTAATTAAGTTTTTTCTCTTTGAATTAATTTTCATTTGTTTTACAGGAAAACGAGACCAAAAATGACGATTTCCATCTTTTTGCACATAATGGTGCTGGGATTCCTAGAGTAAAGATCTCTCACTAACAAGCATACTAAGTATTGCTAATCATATATGAATTTCACGTCTGTAACAAATGCGATAATTAAATGTGGTACATGTAAAGTTTTAAACTTAAAAAAGAAAGAGAAAAAAAAGAAGTGGTACAGCTGTCCCACAGGTTCCCAATCATGTTACAGTTGAATGTTGATCGTGACTAGGAGGAGCAAACAGAGATAGGGGAGTCCAATAATGCTAATGCGTATGACTTGGATTTTTTTATTTCATTTTTAATACGTATTCACCTGATTGTGCAGGCCAATTGTTGATCAGGGGTTTACATACTTGGGGATGAAATACACATCGGCATCATTTACATCTGCTATCATGAACGCCGTCCCGTCTGTCACCTTTGTTATCGCAGTTATTTTTCGGTAAAAATAAATGAATTAGATTCATTCCTAATTTATAATTCGGAAAAATAAGTATTCGTCTAACAACATAAGTTCCGAAAAAGAAAAAAAAAATCTCCGCTAAACCATAATATAATAACATGTGGGTTATAAAATTATGCAGGGTAGAAACTGTAAAGATGAAAGAGGTACGCAGTCAAGCCAAGGTGATAGGAACCCTAGTAACTTTTGCTGGCGCCTTGCTGATGACAGTGTACAAAGGCCCTGTCGTTGACCTCCTATGGTCACACAAAACCAGCAGCCACAGCAGCACCACTACATCCTCCGACCAACACTGGGTAACCGGGACACTCTTCATCCTCATAGGCTGTGTTGCTTGGTCCTGTTTCTACGTATTGCAAGTAAGTATTAATTGCATGATCAGTAATTAAATTATGTTTGCATGCATGTAATATGAAGCTTAATTATTATAAGGATATATGTGACGTGATTGACGTTAATTTACGTATCTATCCAGTCCATAACAGTGAAGAAATACCCAGCAAACATCTCACTTTCCTGCTTGATATGCTTGGTGGGAGCGTTGCAAGGTGCAGCCGTGGCAGTTACTGTAGAGCGTCGTGCTAGTGCGTGGGCGGTCGGCTGGGATTCGAGGCTCCTAGCGCCTCTCTACTCGGTTAGTTCCATATAATGCAACGGGAACACGACCTGCTAACACGAATTGTCATTTTTAAATGTGATTGTGATTTTTTTTTTTTTCAATATGTAAATATTTCTTCATTTTTAACTAATTAGAAGATGCATTGTCAATGATTTAGGGAATAATTGCCTCTGGAATTGCTTACTACGTGCAAGGCTTGGTGATGAAGACTAGAGGCCCGGTTTTCGTAACAGCTTTCAACCCTCTCTGCATGATCATCGTCTCTATTCTGGGTTCCATTATTCTAGCTGAGAAACTTCACCTTGGCAGGTAAAGAAAAAATAAAATAAAATTGGGCTAACATCATATTTCCCCCGGCTTGAATTTTTCTTAATCCTAATCTTCTGGTATATGCCACATTTTATGTTGTGCACGTTACTCCTATATTATGACAAATTCCAACCCTAATTAATTAAAATTATCGATAATGAGGAATAATAATGGCATGTACAAAGTGTGTTGTGATGTCGTCCATCTTGTGACACAACTTTTCTCAGGAACAAAGACTTTAGAGAAGGTATATATCTTTGTGATGTAATCAATCAACTTTAAGCATTGATATGATCTTTATCTGAATAGTTATACATTGAATATTATATTTAATTTCTCTTGGGTTATGCCAGTTGGTCAGGGCAATGAGCCCGCCCAGTTGCACCCAAGTTCAAATATTCCTCCCCTATATGTTAGATTAATTTAGACTATCGTTTATATATAAAATCCCTCTGTTTTTTAATTTTTTTTAAATTTTAAAACTTGATGTGTAGTATAATTGGAGGCGTGATCATCGTGTTTGGCCTTTATTCTGTGGTGTGGGGTAAAAGCAAGGATTATTGTAAAAGCTCAGCAGTGCCATCCAGTCCTGCTATGAAGGATGAAGCTCACGAATTGCCAATTTCTAGTGGAAGTGCTATCAATGGGACTAAATTGGTCATTGACAAAAATGGCAGCGACCAGCCATCGGAAATGCAATATATGGCGGTCCAAAAATAATGCTAATCTTACTTTGAATTTGCGCGTATAAAGAACCAGAAAATGTTTTTTTTAATCTCCCTTTTGAATTTGATTGTAATTATGAATCTATGATTAGCATGTAGCAATCCGCTTCTTTTCTAAGAGCTAGCTTCTTACTATCTAGTTGAAAAACGCTGTCAACAAGCCCCAATAAGAATATATACCCATGCCAATTCTATATAGCTTGCACAATGTTCTCCAACTATTTTCTTCTTTCTTTTCCTTTTCCCTTTTTTGGGCATTTTATTAGATCTTATGAATAATGCTGCATATATTATATACACTCATCATCGCATTTCTCGCATTGGTGAGATTCGGTGGATATTACATAAAGATACAACCAGTAATGTGACCTATAAACGTGAAATAAACAGATTTATTCATAAACTAATATAATTAATATTGATAAAATTTAGAGAAATTGATGTTGTTTGAGAGAATGTAACTTGTCAAATTATCTCTTTATATAGTACATGCCTAGAGTATCAACTATCAGCAAGGTGCACATGTCATGCAAGAATATTAGGTTGATTGGAGATAATTGTCATAAATTGTCAGTTTCCTTTTCAAATTCTCTCACATGTTAATAGGTAGCTAGGGGCCTCTTTCTTCAAACATATCTGATTAGTGGAAATTTGTATTCTGCCGTTTACGGTACAACACTAGAGCCAATCTGACACACCATCTATGGAAAGGACCTTCTTTATTGTGTGGTCTGAGTAAAAAAGACTTGCAATTCCATATGTTTTTTTCAATATAACTTTGTACATTGGGTTTTAAAAATAAAATTCAAAACTGTTAGACGACACCATTGGCTTGTAAATTATATCAGTGGGGTGGGGAAAAAGCAAGTACGCTATTGAAAAAGAAGAAAAGAGAAGTTTGTAGGTGTTGTATCAATCCTTAATATAAGAACTTTTGGTGGATTAAAATCTAAAAATTCTTACAAGTGGTCACTTGCTCTACGGCCATTCGGAAGAATACGAATATAGCATTTGCAAATTGCAAGAAGAAAGAAAAAAAAAAGGAGATTTGCTTCATGCACATGGTGATTGTACTAACAGATGTGCTCCCGTCTTGCAATCTTCTCTTTTTTCTTTTCTTTTTTGAGTATAAGCGATAGTCGAAACTACAGTGTATGAGGTTTTTCACACACACAACTAAGATGTCTTTGGGGTTCGAACCTAAAACCTCTAGTATGCAAATCAAGGTTCTTTTCCACTGAGTTAGACCCGCTGACTCAATCTTCTATTTTTGTTCATCTCAGCAAGATTTGAATCTCTTGGCATAATACGTAATTAAGGACATATTACATGAATAAACAAGATTTTTTTTTTCTTCCTTCCTCTCACCGTAGTTCCAAATTAAAGCATCTTCTCTCACTGCATATCGCCTTACACTTGCAAATTAGAGCACGATGACAGCAAAAACACAATAGAAGTTGGTCAATAAATTTCACCACCAAAAGGAAAAAAAAGGTTGGCCAGTACTTTTGCTCTTTTTTATTTTTTATTTTTGCAATAATTCTAACCACATTCTCTTTTCAAAGACAGTATCAAGACTATAAGGTGGGATTCCACCAACCTGATTAATTGTTTTCGTGGAATCCAAACACGAAACCACAAACTTTATATGTTTGGACTTTGTCTCCCCAGGTGTTTTATACTCATCCAGGAAAAATATTAGTGAAAATACTGTGAGATTATAATATCTATATACATATTTTAAACTTAATAGGTTATTCTTCTCTCTTCCCCACTATATTGCTGTAAGGCAAAGGCATCTTATAAGATGAGGCCACTCTCAAAGGGTTCTAAGCTTGTTATTTCATGAACATATAGGAGCAAAGCACACAGAACATTGCAAAAAAAAAGAAGAAGAATTTTGCAAAATTTGCATAGAATCATAGGACATGCACATGGACGATTTTTGTAATTGGATGTGATTAGCAATTTCTTCGACTCTTTCACAAGGCGACGCATAAAAATTAAGAAAAATTGTAACGCGGGAATAAAGAAAGAAGTTTGTAATCTTAATATATTTATAAATAATAAATAAATAAATAAGGTGATGGAAGTGATTAACTATATATTATGTGATTTGCAGTTTATGAGGAGAGAATCATTTCGTGGCTTGCTTATAAGCCAAAATGCCTGAATGTAGAGAATGGGTTTTCCATTATTAGCCTTAATTTCCGCCCCTTGAATCATTAGTGGCTTGCTGATGGGCAAAGTTATATATAAAGTAGCATGAAAAGCTAGCCATGCTAGAAATTTAGCTAACCTTTTTTTTAATGAAGAAGTGAAGCTAACCTTAACTACTGCGATTTGGGATGCTTTTTAGGCGACATAATTGAAGATTATCAACATGTAGTGCGTTGCCTTGACAAAACTTACCATCCATGTCAATCCCACTAATTATTTGATGAGGAGTGAGGTCATTAATTTGAAGGTCATATACCATGAAAAGTCCCCAAAAAAGAAATTGGTAATTTAACTAGGACATGTCTTAAGTAGCTTATTAGTTGAAGTGGTATCCACTCTTCATAGCACCCACTTCCTCCCAAACTCCACATAAGCTTAGCCTCTTGCGTCTATCATGCTAAAGCACTTAGCCTAAATTTCATTTGGTGGTCAATGAATCGAATCCCCACTTCCAATAAAATAAATATAAAGGAAAAAGGAAAAGCATTTTATTTTCATAGAGATCCACTTAATTAAATCTCTCTCTCTCTCTCTCTCTCTCTCTCTCTTAGTGGCTTGGACATGTACGTATGATTTTGAAATATTGTCTCCTATTTATTTGCTTTTTAGGCTTATAAGAGGAGCATTCCTCATTTTAGTGTTGGCATCCCTCAAAATACAAGTAAATTAATTAGTTGAGGTAGTAGAGAGAGGGACAGAAGTGTTGAATAGAAATATGGGAGACCAAAATCCAACAGGGTCGAAGTTGAGTCCAGTTCTCATCAAGATCAAGCCTTACTTGGCTATGGTCTCCCTTCAATTTGGATATGCCGGCATGTATATCATTAGTATGGTCTCGTTTAAACATGGCATGAGCAACTTTGTCCTCTCAGTCTACCGTCATGTTGTTGCCTTTTGTGTTATTGCCCCCTTCGCCTTTGTTCTTGAAAGGTTCTCTCTCGCTCTCTCTCTCTCTCTCTACCAATTATATATTGGTTTTCTACCCCTTTACAAACAACCATGCATGCATGTATAAGCGCTATGTCACCAAAACTACATTTCAAAAGACTTGAATTATCATACGTGCTAAGAAATTGTTAGTTTTTGTCACAGATTCAAACAAAATATCCGATTCATATATTTACAATTCGACAACATATATGTCAGATTTTATGCCAAAATAATACTTGAATGTTAATGTGCGTACATGTTTCTATATAATATATCTCTTATTTTTCCCTACTAACTTGACCACAATATTGTTTTTCACTCTCTTTTACAGGAAAATAAGGCCAAGAATGACTCTCCCGATATTCCTCAGAATAGTTCTGCTTGGTTTTCTTGAGTAATGCTCTAACTTAATTTTTTTCTCTTCTCCTTTTGATAAACAACTAAAGTTTGGCAAATAAATTTTAGATTATTGCATGTACAATCATCATATATTAATACTTGATTATTACAGGCCAGTTCTTGATCAAAACTTATACTTTCTGGGAATGAAGTACACCTCAGCAACATTTGCATCTGCTGTTGTCAACGTCCTTCCTGCCATCACCTTCATAATGGCAGTTTGTTTCAGGTTTAAAAAGTAGATAATCATATTCCAGGATGCGTAGTATTATTTTAGTGCGTTAATAAAAAGGTTAGTGTACGCTTAAGAGCCAACACATTGGAAGGCACTAAGGGGAATTGGCATATACTATTCCAATCACACGTCATCGTCTTGATTTTTTTTTTGTTCCCTTATTTTTTGATGAAATCATGGTCGACATGATGCCATCATAATCAGTTCCCCGTGAAAGAAAAAACAATTACACCTTTGTTTTTTTTTGTGGAATCTTGTTGATAATTTTTGTGACACATGATGTAAGCCTTGGCCACTACACGTGTTATTTGCTGGAAGAGGAAAAAGAAAAAAACCCCAAAATAAAAAGTTGGGATTCTCTGCTTATGTAATAATTAATACACTGCATGCTAGAACCATATTATTTATTTTAAAAAAATATAATATTCTGAGTGTAAGTATGTTCCTAGAATAAACAATCATATCACCTAGTTGTGTATTAATATTTGTTCTCATTCCTTAAAAATGTCGTTATCGTGCATATCTATATACGAATAATTTTACAAGAATCATATTAATACTTGATCTAAAATCTTAGTTTTTCTAATTGAATTATGATATATAATCATTAATAATGATTAGTTTGCCTAAGTCCTATCCTAATTATGTTATTGTTCTGATTAATCAGGTTAGAGAGTGTGAACGTTAAGAAGCTACATAGCCTGGCAAAGGTGGTGGGAACTGTTATCACTGTGGGAGGAGCCATGGTGATGACACTGTACAAAGGCCCCATTGTGGATATCATACGAGGCCACACACACAGCCACAGCACTAGCACCGACAACTCCACCAACCAGCATTGGGTGGCTGGCCCCTTGATGCTCTTAGCCAGTTGCGGTGGTTGGGCCAGTTTCTTCATCGTTCAAGTAAGTCAAAACATTTACAACATATATTTGCTTTCCAACAGTTTGACAACATAACTACTCAATTACTTACGAAACTATTAAATATTGCGTCACGCATTAAAAAGTCACATACTCATCAAAATTGATAATTTGAAAACATATACGTATATGTCATCATGTCTACCAAGAGAATACTTTGCAACTTGTAAAATTTCGTATGGATAAATGTTTGTGATAAGCTGATCTAATTAAGCTTTTTTATATGTGTTGCACTTCAGTCATTTACTTTAAAGAAGTACCCAGCACAGCTTTCTCTCACAGCTTGGATATGCATTATGGGAGTGTTGGAAGGTGGGGTATTAACATTAGCGGTGGAACGCAAAATGAGTGTTTGGGTTATAGGCTGGGATTCGAGGCTCCTTGCTTCAGTTTACTCTGTGAGTGCACAATACTCTTCCCTATATAACAAGGCTTAGAAACATTGCAGGCATTTGACACACTTTGTATTGATCTTTGTGATTAGGGAATTGTTTGTTCTGGACTCGCATATTATGCGCAAGGTGTTGTGAGTAGGGAACGAGGCCCGGTTTTTGTAACAGCTTTCAGTCCTCTCTGCATGATCATCACCGCCGCCCTAGGAGCCATCGTTTTAGCTGAACAAGTCCACCTTGGAAGGTACAATACTAAAACCTCCATAAAAAGTTTGGATTACGAGGGAATGTTTTCTTACCAGACTGTGAATTGAGATTCACAATCTGACTCTATATAAAAAAAACTTATGTTGCCAGACAGTTCGGCAATAGAACATTTTCCAATACTAACCTCAATAGGGTTGCGGAGCAATGACCATCTTTCTTTTTACTGATTGATTGTTTGTTTGTCTCCTGTGTGCTTTGTCTCAGTATAATTGGAGCCATTTTCATAGTCTTCGGTCTCTACACTGTGGTATGGGGCAAAAGCAAGGACCCTCTAGCCTCAAGCGTACCATTGAAAGATGAGAAAAGCAATAACCTTGAGTTGCCAGTGACGGCTGATCACAACAGCATCAATGGACGCACCTGATCACAAGATTTCATTTTCAAGATCCCTAAACCATATTAAGGAACAATTAATCATGAAGATTGGTCGATGTTCTGATTCGAGAATTGTAAAAGGTTCACAAAAGATTATGTCCCAAATTAATCTTTCTAGGAACCTTCCTTAATTATGTCAGGTTGCATTTAACTACATGCAGTGTATTAAATTTTGACTTATTGATCACATGCACCTTGAGAGTGAATGAAGTGATCAGTGTAATAATTTTAATAATTCTAGCTAATTATGTTTGTTTATGTTTTAATTGTCAATATTCTTCATCCATTTTTTTTTCTTTTATAATTTTTTTTTGTTTAATCGAACAATTTGCAATAATATCTGAAAAGTGAAAACCAAAACCCTCGAATATTCCAGAGTTTTTTCAGGTGTGTGTACTAAATGGGATTGCTTAGAATTTTACTTCACATCACTATATATACGGCCGAATAATATATAAGAATATTGGCCGCAGAAGATGAAGGAGAGAATCAAATACCTGGAAACTTGGATACGGGGGCCAATTTGAATTTTAAAGGGAAAGAAGTAAACGATGATTTCCTTGCTCTCTGTTTACATGAAAGTATAGGACTATACTCCCTCTTAATTAATTAAGAAAGCTTGTTTTGGCTGACATTCTGGTGAAGAAAAACAAAATGATTGCTTTGCGTGGTCATACGTATGCATTTGTTTTTTGTTCTGCATATGGTTGCAGTTGTGTCTGATGGTGTGGCAGCTGTTGAGAGTATTTTACACTGAATGATGAAATCTTTGTCTTAGCATTTGAAAGATCTTGGATCTCCCAATCTATTGCCAATTGATTTTGGATTGAATGCTGACATTCTAATTGTTGTGCACGCGGAAGTGTTTCAAGTCAGTCAATATGATATCGATAAAATAACGAAGACAAGATATGTCATATGCAGATAAACCAACAACACACAAAGGTTCATAAAGAGATTACAGAGGAGTTAACACTCTCACCACAACATGAGATTACAAAGTTCAACTCTCACAACCCAAATCCCAAATACACCAAATCATTCACACTCATAAATAATACAGATACATATGAGCGAAGAACAAATCTCAAATTCTTGCTCACAGAGAAAAGAGACACAGAGAGCTATTACATAGAAGTTACAAACACAAGAAACAAAAAAGGAGAACCAACCTAGAAGTATAGCTGATGTGCAACAAGCCAAAGAAGAGAGACTCTTACACAAAGTTGCATCAACCTACACACTAATACAAAGAGACTTGATTTCTCACAAATTGATTACTCTCTCTCAACATATTCTGTAGACAAAGAGAAGCTTACTTCACTCTCCCACAAGGATGCAACCCACCAAGGTCAGATAGGAGATTCCTCTTCAAATAGGTGATTGCCCTTCCTTTATTTCTCTTCTAAATATGGGGCACCACCACACTAGGAGAATAAGCAAAGAGCCCGGATCTCTTCCTTTCCCAACTCAAAAGAGAGCGTTTCTCTCTTGTAGATATGACGGCCACACTTAACTCCAATATCACTCTCTCCATATGAGGTTCAAAGCAAGTGTATTGGAGAAGGCACCAATGAGTGGTTGATATTAGCCCACATCCAAAAGTCGCATAGCCTACAAAAGAAGCTACACCAACATCTGGCCATTTTTCTAATCCGCTGGAGCCAACATTCTTGATCAGATCCGCTCAAGCTGTTTTGCAAGAATTGAAAGAAAGGACATTATGGAACTTCAAGCGAGCTGTTTTGCAAGAATTGGGCCCATTGCAACATTTTTATCTTCTGATACGATGTTGTAAAATGAAAAGCGTAATCTCGAATTAATGCCCCATGGGTTAGAGCATAGAATGAATAATAAAAAGTTTGGAAAAAGATGAAGGCTTGAAGCTCGTTTAAGATTAAGAGACAGGATTCATAATAAACTATAATAAACTAGTCTCCCAAGCCCCAAATCTCATATTGTTTGGTCCTATAAAGTGCAACCCAGAAGGGGCAGATCCATAAAGTTAGCCAGATTGGGGCGCAAGAACTGGCATATAATTGAGCCCAATTACCTAGACTTTCCTTCCTTTACCCTTTTTTTTTTCCTCCTTTCCTTCTCTCTGATTTCTCTCTCTTCCTGTTCTTGACAACATTTTTTTTTGGTCGGTACTTTGAAAGAATTAGGAGGGAGGTTCATGACTCATTGGTCAAGAGAAGAGAACGGTGTAATTTTAGGTGGGAATCTTGCCAAACATGGAGTCACTAATTGCATACGGAAATGCAATTGCATTGTTTTAAGACTTTTTAAAGCCCACGAAATGCAGGCCTAAACATGTTTTTCTTTCTTATTCAAACAAGGATTACAAAAGGTTTTAAAAAAGAAGGAAATCAATTGGTTCTATTGCTGCAATTTTTTTTTTCCTTCTTCTTTTTTTATTTTTTATTTTTGGTAATTTGCTTCTTATTTTATTTTTTATGATTTGGCTCTTATGATAAGTATTCAATAGCAAACTCGAGGAAGAAGAGGCTCTGCAACGCACGACTCATGATATGATCAATTATGATTTGTTTATATTCAATTTATTTTTATAAAGCTTTTATCCTCTAAAAAATTCATGAGTCCGTGAGTGTTGCTTGCTTTGTCATGCAACCTTATTAAAGTCAACAATGCTCATGAAGATTTAAACATCCTTGCAAGTACTGATTTATAAAGGAGGATGATGACTCAGTGAGGGACATGATGAGATAAATTATTTTTTTTTCGTGACAAAGGGATAGTCTAAACTACTAATTTGAATCAAATAAATTGGCCCGTGATGTCTTAAATGAAAAATTTTCTGTATCGTTTGTCCTTAGAACATGGATGTTTAATTGGCCTCATGCCCTGAGTTAGCGGAGCGATAAAGTTTATGTTCCTATTATCTGTGAATTGATGTAAACGCAACCATTGCCGGGAGGAGGCTGATAATGACATGTCTGTCTGGTTTGGATTAATTAAGTCATACGTGTGGCGTGGTATGTGATTCAGAAACCTTATGTCGTTATTGGTTGATTAAACCAATTGGATTTGAAGGTAAATTCTGAGCGGAAAGGCTAGAATGAGGAGCTAATTTGAGGAGGTTATTTGAGGAGGTGAAATCTCACCATCAATAACCAAAAACAAAGTACATGGGGGGGGGTTGCATTGGGGGGTCCACACCCCTTTTGATTGTGAGATGGGCCTCCTCACATAACCTCCTCAAATTAGCTCCTCATTATAGAAGCTCCCAATTCTGAGAAGGAAAAATCAGAAGCGTACAAATAGTTTTGTACGGTTGAATGGGCTCATTGGATTTGAGTTGAAACTTGGAAGAGAGAGGTTGGTGGATTGTAGCTGCTGGACAAGAAGCCAACGATTCATTGGGGCCGAAATGGGGAAGGCAAGATCAGTTTGTCTTTCACTGTGAGTTAGGCTTTTTAGGCCTTCTACTTTCGAGCTTATTGCCAACTATCAAAATGTCAATTATAATGAAGCTGGATAATAGCTGCAAAGCCTCATGTCCATATCCACCCAACGTACTCACTATTTTGGTGTTGGATGACAAAGACGGTATGCCAAGCCTTTCTTTGTTATTTCTGGTTAATTACAGTATGTCAAATATAAAAGTTATTATGTGTGGCATACTGTGATTGGTCGGGAATATTTACGCTTCAAGTGGTAATGCCCTAAAAACCCGAAAAAAGACAACACTACACTTCATTTCTGGTTTGAAACTCATGACAGTGATCTATATTAGTAAGAAATTAATTTTGACAAAATCACATTTTTATTGTTGTGGAAGAGTTTGCAGTTTTTTGGTGTTATGGGCCTGAGACCCAAGAATAAGAAACAGCCGCTACTAAATTGCCCTGACAAATCTTCTAACAGAGAAGTCCTCATACAATAATACCATGACCTTTTTTTTTTGGTTTGAATAATACCATGACTCCGTAGCCCAGATCTATACTTAAACCCAACTTTACAAAGCTTGTCAGCAACAACATGGAGATGAGACAACCTAACATGGCCAGCCCAAACAACATGGAAATATAGCTAGGGGCTGGCTTGAGGGGTTCAATCCCACCATCAAATAATTTAAAATGTCTTAAGTTTATTGATTTCCTCACATTTGTTAATAGTGGTATTGAACTCCTCAAATAAGTTGTTCACTCTAAACTCCTCGTTATAACCTTTATGTGGCTTGAGGCACCAAATATCATCTCAAATTTTATGTTCACTAATTTTCTGGAAAGATGCCAATGGGTCAGTAGTTCAGCGGTAAGAGCATTTGCGTGCATATCAGTTATCACAATTTGCGCTCTCCTTATATTTATTTCTCTGCCACTATATTTCTGCCAACTAGCTAAAAAAGCTTGACCAGAGGTCAAGATAGAACCTAGCAACAAGCAGGGCTGCGATCAACGAGTCTTTATTATTGGACTTTTCCCTTCAAGTACCAAGGTTGGTTTCAACATTTATCACAAAAAATACAGATGAAATGAACAGCTGAGATTGCTTCCGTATGAACCCAACCGGTGATGATTT